TCTTCTTTTTCTACCAATTAATTTTAACAACTTTTGTTTGAATTATTTTTTATTTCCTTAATATTTTTTGAAATATTTAAGGAAAACTTGGAAACTTTCAACATTTAATTTACGATATCTCGTTAACTATTCGTCGAAAGAAAAAATAGTATTAGACTTTTATACTTTATTTACTATCAAGAATATATTACTATAATAGTGCCCTAACTTTTGATAACTTATCGACTTTTGGAAATTTCAAAATTATTAAATTAACAAAAGTTAGAGCTATTATAGTAATATATTCTTGATAGTAAATAAAGTAAAAAAGTTTATGTTGAGGATTAAAATGAATGTAATGACACAGAGATACATTGCACCTTTATGTATATTCAATAAGGTTTACAATCCAAGAAAAGAAACGATAGAACAAAACGTTATGACGGGTTTTAGAGAGCGAATACAACATGGCTCAAGAAGAAGTACACATAAGACAAAGAAGAGGGAGGGCTTTAGTAGAATCTGGAACACATAGATGTCGCCATAGAACGTCTTGAATATACATTTCTTAACAGTTTAATACTATTTTTTCTTTCGACGAATAGTTAGCAAGATATCGTAAGTTAAATGTTGAAAAGTTACCAAGTTTCCTTAAATATTTCAAACAATATTAGGCAAATGAAAAAATGTTTCAAACAAAAGTTGTCCAAATTAATTGGTAGAAAAAGAAGATACAATAAAAAATTGGGCTTTCTGTTTAGAAAAATTAAGTTGACCTTCAACTGAGCTTGAAAATACCCTCCAAATAAAAAAACTGACAATTCTCTTTCCTCTTCGAAATCATGGAACACGTGTTTTAGCTTTTTTTATATCTTTCATAGTTTTCGAGATTTTTTACCTGTTACATTTGAAATTTAGCACCCTATATACAGGCTATCTTAAAAATACGGTTATCCGGAACCTCCCAATAACTTTGCAGGATCAAGTTTTCATGAAAAACTTTAAATACAAAAGTTGTAGAAAATCGAGTGACGGACTTGATGGTGACCTTGAATTAGACCTTGGCCATGATCTTCTTTAAATGATGCATCCTTATCCTCATTGATGCAAACAAGCACCTCTAATATTAATGTAGATATCTCGTCGCTTATTCGGTCGCACAAAAGGATTAGGAAATCGGTTTGATACATTCGTCTTCTTTTCAATTTCTCTTTCTCGATCAAAATGATTTTTCTTCTTCAGTGGAATAGGCCTACAGGGGATACCACTTAAAAAAAACGCGTTGGCAATAGTACCTCATGGGTGATGTGGAAACCTATTGTTTTTTTATAATATAGAAAACCTATACTTTGTACTTATAATAATATTAATACATTAATACTGTATATTATAGTTATATTAAGAATATTACTTATATTAATATTTCTATTAATATATATTTATATTAATATTAAGACTATATTATATTAGTAAACTATAAAAAATGCCTATGGAGTTGTTTTAATAAATAAATTTGTTTCAGCTATGTTAAACTGTGAAGCGTCTCATGTGACTGTCTCATGTGACGTGCCTGAGACAGCGCCTCGCGACTGTCAGTTTCTAGGTCCGCCATGCGGGCTGGAGCGGTAAGGAGAAATAAGGAGGCGTCAGAAATCGGCCCGATCGTGCAAGTAATTCCGGGCACTGTCGTAAAGCTTTAATGTAACATTCGGTAGAAAACGCCCGTTGTCTAAAAAAAATCCTGACATTCAAAATTTATTGTCGAACTTTGTACAGTGACTCACAGAATGGTCGAAATTTCCAGTAGTATGTGGGAAAGTATGGCCCGTCAAAATATTCCCCCTCCACTCGACCCGCCGATGCCTAAACCACGCCCACCGGCGCCGGCGGGTCGAGTGGAGGGGGAATGTTTTGACGGGCCATACCTCCCCACAGGCAAAAACTAATCGACTTTTGAAGTAAGCAAATTATGACCGACATTATTAGGGAGCAATTCTGACTCTTGATCAACTACTTAATTTGCATATTGCATTTGCGGAAAAACTCTGTGAGTTCTGCTCGGATTCGAACCTGGGACTCTGGCTTTTGAGTCTTACCACTAACGCTACTGCTAGCTATACCCTGATGGAAACTAGTTATATAGCAGCCTACATACAGAAAGTATCGACGTCACAGGTTTTGGAAAAACTCTGTGTTAAGGCCCTGCTGGATTCGAACCTGGAACCTCTGGGGGCTCCTGAGTCACGCGTCTTACCACTTACGCTACTACTATACCCTGATGGAAACTAGCTAATATCGTCTACATATGGAAAGTATCGACGTCACAAGTTTCGAAAAAACTCTGTAAACCCTGCTGCTGGATTCGAACCGGGATTCGACCTCTGGCTCTTGAGTCAAACCGTCTTACCACCGCGCTACCGCTGTACCCTAATGGAAACTAGCTATATCGTCTACATATGGAAAGTATCGACGTCACAAGTTTCGAAAAATCTTGTAAGGCCCTCTGTTGAATTCGAACCGGGGGAGGGGGGACCTCTGGCTCTTGAGTCAAACCGTCTTACCACCGTACTACTGCTGCTCTCTGGTAGAAACTGTCTTTACGACGTAGTCGTATAACGGGATGAGAGATGTGCGTGTGCGTGGTCATCCCCACATGTGTGTTCTCTGGAAAAATCCTGTAGAGGTCCTTCTCGGATTCGAACCAGAGTCCGTTGGCTCTTGAAACAAGCATCTTATACGCTACGCTATTGCTATATTCTGATGAAAACTAGATATATTGTATACATACGTAGAGTATTGACGTCACGCGTGGAAAATTTCGAAAATTTTAAGCCCTACGGACTCGTGGCTCTGAGGCCCCAGCTCTTGAGGCGCGCGAGCGTGCGTGCACATATTCGAGCAGATAAGGATAATTTCGAAGATAAAACTACTCAGCGATTGTTAGAAGACGATACCTCCGGTCTATGTCTACCTCAATATTTTTACCTGTGTGTGTGTCCCCTCGCTTTCGAACTCGAAAAGTTTACAACAGGTCTTGTTACTGCGAATTGGAGATCACAGGGAAGAGAGAAGAGGCGGAAAGAAAGGAATATACAAAATGTTTATAGAATAAATTCACATTTTATTCTTATACATTTTTCTAATACAGGATTGAACCTGGTACATAGGGATATGATGATCTAGCGATTTACGGTTACATTGCCAAAAGATTTTCTTATACATTTGTATAATTAGTTGATCGTTTCGTTCGCAATCATTGGTAAACAAATTTTTAAAGGCATTGAGGTTATAACCCCTGCACATAAAGTAAAGAAAAACACAACAATAATGGCCACAAGTCGTCGATAAGAGACCCTGTAACTTTGAGGTATTCCATCGGTAAGTGGCGGAATTTCTTCTAAGACGCAGGAGAAATCGTGAGTCCCAGGGCGGCATCCCGTAGCTGTCAAAGTACGTAGTTGCTCCCTTCTGATCGATGTAGAATGCGATCCAGTGTTGTCCTGGACGGTTGTGATTGTCCGTATTAGCGACTATTGCCGTCGATCTCGTCCACACCCTCGGTAGTCTGTCGGCTGGATAGACGCCTGTGTATCTGGTGTTGAGATGTTGCAGCGCATGTTGAATTTCGAGCGAATTCATTTTATATAATTTCGTTTTACCTCTGGTAACGTGATTGTTATAGTCCTCGACGGTTCGACTGAATGTTCCAACTCAGTATTTGTTTCGTTTTCCTCTTCTTCAGTCGATGGCACTTCCCGATTTGTAGAAATAGCTATTTTCGCTCTCTTCCTCATCAATTTTGGAGGATAAGCACTGAGTCGCATAGACGTTGTCACGATGTTGATTTGGCTTTGTTCGATGTACCAGTGTTTCAATTTGTATGCGTTGCGTAATGCACAGTGATAACGACCGTGTTTTCTAAATGCGTGGAATGGGCAAGCTTCTACACGTTCGCTGGATGAAAGATCACTGAACATCGGCGAGATATTCTCCAGATTATACACGTTTCGGGCTAGTAAATTTTGCAAGTAGCTCGCTTTTTCCTCACCCTTTGTCATGAAGTCACGAATATGACTCGTAATTTCACGCAACCGCAGATAAAAATATTTCGGATTGCTCTCCCCGTCGTACCACTCAATACCATGATAATTCTGCGAAAGCCAGTTATTTATACGCCTTGATTTTTCATTCAATTCCGCAAATGAATACTCTGGAGCTAAGATCCAATGACTAACGAATGACTCATTAATACCGATAATAGCCACCTCCTTGAGCACGTAGACATCGTTGCTATTGCGGAAACATTGTACTTCGACAATGACATTCATGCTCCCTCTGTATACGCAATTATGCTTCCCCCGAAACTATATTTTTCGCGCCTCGAAAGCGACTGGACTCTTTTCTCAAAACTTTTACTCAGGAGGGCTATGATGTTGAAAATCTTTACATAGGAAGGGGAATGACGTCGAAAAGAAAAGTGGGGACTCATTTTAACCGCTATAATCTACAATGACTTGACGAGAAGAATCTATTTCCAGCACGCTTTCAAATTCAGCCTAAATTAAGCAGTTGATCGTTATTATGAGAGCTTTTTCGAATAGTATTTCCATTCGCAAACTACCATGTTTCACAAGGTTCCATTGAGCTGCGCAATTAGCCGATAGATCAGGAGTGAGATCGAAGGCGAAAAGAGTATAACCAGCAGGATAATCTTCTCTGGATATAGAATTAGTTTCATTCAAAACGTGAATACCCGTTCCCGAGAAGAGGGTGTGATACGTCTCGGCGTAGAGCATCTCGTTCCCAGAGAATTTTGGCTATAACGGCCTGCTAGGGATTTGAGTTCCATCGATATACAGTAAAAAGAAATTTATTCCATAATGCTGGAAATTGAACGGATTTAAATGGCGGGCACCGTTAAATGCTTTGTTATCGACAAAACCGACAATTATACGCTTCGGTATTTGTCTAAGAATGACGTTGTCCAATGTTTCTCCTACGACGCCGCTATGAATCGTGAATTATTTAACTTCGACTCTCGTGAGAGGGTATTTAGCAGTAGTCCTGGTCAACATTTTTGTATGAGCGAGTAATATGCCTAGATTTATTCTAGCTCTTTTGATGAGTAGTGTAGCATCTAAAACGTTTATCCGTGACATAGTATTTCCTTCCATAAGACAGAAGGAATCTTTCGAACGAACAAGCCTCATGCGCAGTTCCACACTGTTTATCAAGAATTTATCTTGATTGAAGACGTCGCAGTGAAGATGACCTATGAGATCCAGTGTTCGTCCTCCTTGTACAAAAGCGGCTCGCTTGTCGAGTCCGTGATTGCATGGTGTCGCTCCCAGTAGAGCGTCCATGTTCCGCGTCGTATCGTTGTACCACAAGCACGAAGCCAGGTGGGAGGTTTTTACTGGTGAAGCATAATTTAATAACGCCTCTATGTAAGCGCGGTAAGCGTAAGCATTGTTTGGAGGAGATACGAGCTTTTCGTTGAAATATACGTCGATTTGATTGAGCATCGAATGCAGTATATGGTTTACTGGGCCTACTTTTGCGCTGGCGGCTCCTGCTACAGTTTCCGTTTCTACTCGTATGCGTAGCGACAGCATGGTGTGAGCAAGATTTATGTATTCGACCAAGGTCTCTCGACAGAGAAGGCGCACACACCTTCCCTTTTTCCTACGTCCGTGGCGGAGGGCGACCAAGTGTTGCGGACACTCAGCGGAGACGGCGGATGCACCGTCCCGGGTCCTTGGTCGATAGACGGATCGCTCAGAGGCTGAGTATGCTCAGCGGAGTTTGCCGACGGACGAACCCTTGGCTCGGAGCGGTGGGTGAAGGCTAGAGACGGTCGATTACGCTCGACTGAGCTCACGCACGCACGAGCCTAGGAAGACAGGAGGCGGCTAAGTATCGAGGACGCTCGACCGAGATTGCGGACGCACAATCCCGTTTTCTTAGTCGTCGGTCGGGTAGTCGGAATTCGGAAGGCAGAGCGAAATGGATCTTCTATCTATCAGCATGTGCGTCTAGATAGAACGGCGGTTTGGATCGGTCTGGTATCTAGGAGCTTGATGGCCGCCGTCTTATAGTCGTATTCGGTACGACTGATCTGGCGGTGATCGAGCGGCGTGCCAATCCGCGCGAAGCATAGCGGCGGCGCGTGATAGTAGCAGCGCACGATATGGAATTCGTATGGCGCTAAGCGCCGTTCATCGGCCCGACAGATGGCTGGTAGTAACGAGGTGAGTATGCCTCGTTACATCACTCCTTCGGAAGGGGGGTCGTCCGGTAGGCGATGGCTGGACCGGAGCTGTCCGTTTGCGTGAAATCGCAATATCCACCGCACCTCGGGTGTTCTGAGGCGGTAGAGACGGCTGACGTGAACAGCCGCGTGCGGAATGAGCTTCCGCAGCCCAGGCTCGACCTGTACTAAGATGGGCAGTGGTGGCCTCGGGCCAACCGCTCGGTAGAAACTGATCGGTCGGTCGGTGGTTGAGGACGTACGAACGGACGGCGCGGGCGGTCAAGTGGGCTGCTGTGGCTGCTGCTGCTACGGTAGCGGCTGCTGCGAATATAAGCGATGGCGATGGCGGACGTAGCAGTAGTGTCCGTTGTGGCGGTGGTAGCGGCCGTTGCGGTGGTGGACGTAGCTGCGGCGTTTTCTGCGGCGGTGGTGAACGTTGCAACGTCAGACGGTGGTATCCGCGCGGGGCGGGTGGTGGCCCGTGCTGCTGCTGCCAGCGCCTTTGACTGGCGTCCTCAGCGCCCTGATGGGGGGGGGGGCAGCGGAGCCGTAAGCATAATTACTTTGCGGCGCTGAATCGTGGTCTGACCGTTGTATCCTGGTCCCCCTCACGGGGACTTGGGGGTTCAGCAGTCTTGGCGACAGCAGTGGTGTGCTTGCTGGTGGTAGCGGCGGTGACGTTGTCGGCGATGGTGACGTTGCCCGTGGTGACGTTGGCGGTGACGTCGCTGATGGTGGCGACGTCGGCGGCGGCGGAGCGGTCGAGGCTCTCTCCTTGTTGTCAAAGAGCGCAAGGTCGGTCCAGAGGACCGCTAAATCCTCGATCTCCATCAGAGCGGTCTCTCAATTGCTTATGCTTGCGCTTGCTCGCAAAATTCTCTTGCTGCCGCTTGCGACAGCTCGAAGAAATGTGAATTTCTACGCTGGAGGCCGCCGTCTTATACTCCGGGACGCTGTTTGGATTTCTCCTTCCGAGTCGTCGACTTCCGTGTCCTGTGGCTACTCGTCGTTATTGTTATTTGACTTTAAATCTTGAACGTGTATATGTCGCAGCCACTTGCCGTTTTTGGCGCGGAGATCAACGATTACCGGCGAGATGATCCGACGGATTTCATATGGCCCGAAATATTTTGGCGCGAGCTTGGCGTTAAAGCCTTGCGCTTTATCCGATAGGGGATGCTCGCGTTTCCATACAGTCTAACCCTATCTTAGGCCGCCAGGAACGCCGTCGCAAATTATAATTGCGCTCTTGGCGTTGGAATGCTCGTGCCAAATTTATACGGACGACTTCGTACTCTTCTTCGAGCTGTCGTCGGCGGCTTTCCGGTGGAGCGGCGGTGCGTGTCTCCGGCCTGGGACTCAGTTCCCGCCCGTTGTGTAAAAAAGCTGGGCTGTAGCCTGTCGACTCCTCCGGACGGCGGAGTTGTACGCAAACTGGAGGGCGGTTAAATGGGTATCCCATTTAGGATGGTTCTTCCCTACATGCTACAAGATCATGGTTTTAATTACTCGGTTGGTCCGCTCCACAGGATTGCAATGTGGCGCGTATATCGATGTTGTTCGGTGACGGATGCCGAACGCCCCGCAGAGCTTTGCGAAGTGTTCGCGGAGCAGAACTGTTTTCCGTTGTCGGAGACTATCGTTTGGGGGTAGCTGTGTCGGTAAATGATGCCCTCGGTAATCGCCCGTTCCACTGCTCCTGCTGTCGCCCTTCGGAGCGGCCACATTTTCAGCCACTTGGAGAAGTGATCTTGTATAGTGATGACTCACGCGTGGCCGCCGATTAACCCCGGTAGAGGGCCTATCAGGTCCACCGAGGCCTGTTCCCACGGGCCCTTTACCGCGGTGACGTGCATGAGGCCCGCGGGCTTGGCCTGTGTCGCCTTGTAGGCGAGGCACGTCTCGCAGGTTCGGACATGCCGGGCTATATTCCGGAACATGCCGGGCCAATAATATCGGCAGGCCACACGGACGATCGTCTTCGCTATCCCCAGTCCCCAAATAGTCGGCGGTCGGTTCGTTATGAAGTTAGCGAAGAATCTCCGTTCGTTGTTCCCGAGGTACGCATACTTCTACTGCTCCTCCGCCGGCACTTCGCGGAAGTCGAGTTCGTGCAATACGTGGCGCAGGAGCTGGTCTTGCTGGACGGCGTAGTTTAGCCATGCAGCGGGGTCCGCGGTTATTTGCACTTTCATGCGGCGGTACCAGGGGCAAGTGGTTTCTGTTGTTATGGTGCCCACCTCGGGCCGTCGCGATAACGCGTCGGCGACTGTATTTAGAGCGCCTCGTCGGTACTGCACCTCGAATTCGTACTGCTGCAATTCGAGGGCTCAGCGGACTAATCGCCCGATGGGGGCTTCCAGGCTGCACAGCCATCGGAGAGCCTGGTGATCCGTGATCATCGTGAAACGATAGCCTTCCAGGTAGTCATGCATTCGCCTTATCCCCCAGATCACGGCGAGGCACTTTAGTTAGGTCGCACTATAATTTTTCTCGGCGCGATTCAATGTCCGTCTCGCGTACGCGATCACGCGTTCGGAGCCGTTCAGCCACTGCGTGAGGACGGCTCCCAGCCCTTCCGTGCTTGTGTCCGTTTACAGCTGGAAGGGCTCCCGGAAATCAAAGCACGCGAGCACCGGGGCGGTGGTCAGCCGTATTTTTAGCGCGGCCATCGGGGTGTCTTTCTCCGCGCCCCACCTCCACTTAACATCCTTCCTGGTGAGCGGCGCGGCGAGTGTGGAGAAACCCGGGATAAACCGACGGTATCACAACGCGAGCCCGAGGAATTGTCGCACTTTTCGCACGGTGGTGGGCACCGGCCATTCTGACATCGCGCTCACATTTTCCGGGTCGGTCCAAATGCCATCCCTGTCCACGATATGTCCCAGGTATTGTAGGCAGCTTACGCAGAATCGGTACTTCTCTGCGTTTAGCCGTAGTCAGGCTTCCCGGAACCGTCGGAAGACTTCAATATGTCGGGTAAGGTGCTTTTCGAAAGTCCGACTCACGATGATGATATCGTCTAAATACACGAGTACATGGGGTTCGAGCTCAGGGCCGAGTACGCCATCCAGTAATCGTTGAAATATAACTGGTACTATATTTTGGTGAAAAATATATTTTTCACCAAATTCCTATAAAAACCCTAGATTAACCATAAATTTCGACTCTGAACTCCCAGTAGAAGCGGAGATCCTCCCCGTGGGTGCCACCTTGTTGTGGTGGGGAGGCTTGAAGGTTCCGATGACGTACAGAGCTCTGCCGGCGGGGGTTTCGACCCTGGTAGGTCCTACCATGCCGGAGTAGTTTGTACCGAGGGACTGGACCAAGAGCACCCGATCAGGCTGAGTGACCAGCATGGTCCCGGACCAGTATGGTCACAGTGCGGGTGGGAGGAGACCATCACCCCTGGAGGCATTGCACGCCGGTGCTCCGGCAGCCAAAAGGGGAGACCTCCTCAGCACTCGCTCTAGGAAGGGGACCCCTTTCTCCGAGGCATTGCACGCCGGAACTTCGGCAGCCGAAGAGAGAGGACCCTTTCCTCCCGCCTCTATCAGACCGTTATAGTTAGATAGGGGCGGAGGGATGTAGCCGCGCCCAGGGCTCCACCCCATGGGAATCCTCCCCCCATGGGCCTGGGAAGCGGAGGGGTATTCCGGGCCGCTCGGACGTTTCCGAGGTCGTGGTCGGGGTGCCTTCGTACATCCTAGGAGGACCCCTCTCTCCAAGGCATTGCATGCCGGTGCTCCGGCAGCCGAAGAGAGGGAATCTCCTTCCCTTATTCGTCACGGTCACGGCCGTGCGAATGGAGAATCCCACACCCTGGTCTGCACACCATGGGGTTATCCCCATGGTACCCGGGGGGTGGAGGGGTGTCCCGGGCCTCTCGGACTTATTCCGAGGTCGGGGTCGGGGCACCCTAGGGTGATGAGGGGAGAGGACCCCACCTTCATTGAAGGTAAATCTCCCCGACTTCCCTCACCCGTTCGGCTTCGGCCGGACGGACAGAGGAACCCACACCCGGGTCTGCACACCATGAGGCTTGCCTCATGGTACCCGGGGGGTGGAGGGGTGTCTCGGGCCGCTCAGACGTATTCCGAGGTCGGGATCGAGGCACCCTCAAGCGCCATCTAGAGGACTCACTCCTGGAGGCATTGCACGCCGGTGCTCCGGCAGCCAAAGGGGGTGATCCTCTCCCTCATTCGTCCCGGTCACGGCCGGGCGGAGGGAGGTACCCACACCCGGGTCTACACGTCGTGAGAGTTTGGGACCCCTCATGGTACCCGGGGGGTGGAGGAGTGCTCCGGGCCGCTCGGACGTATTCCGAGGCAGGGCCGGAGCCCCTATGTGCTATGCCTGAGG